ATTCTGTCCATGAAAGTAATGAACAGAATCAGTAAAAAAGGGCAGCCTTGGCGAAGTCCAACTCTCACCGGAAACGAGCCCGACTTACTGCCGGCAATGTGGACCAGACTCTGACACCGGTCGTACAAGGACCTGACAGCCCGTATCAAGTGGCCCGGTACCCCATACTCCCGGAGAACCCCCCCACAAGGCCCCCCTTGGGACACGGTCGAATGCCTTCTCCAAGTCCACAAAACACATGTTGGGCGTACTACCATGTACCCTCCAGGACCCTGCTGAGGGTGTAGAGCTGGTCCAGTGTTCCACGACCAGGGTGGAAAGAAAAGCAAACAAAAAAAAACAACTTGTAATTTATTTAAATTAATTATGAACATTTGTTTAACCTCTAAAGTCCAGTTTTTAAATCAGATGTTGCTGAAACAGCAAGTTTCTCAGTGGATCTGTGCTCAAAAATACAGCCTAGGTGGAGTAGTCGAACACAGATCCACTGATCCTTCAACACAGAGCATCTTCAGAAGACAAAATGATAAAYTAAATTTTAAATATCTGTATTGTTCGATACAAGTGTGTATTGAACGGTTCGATACAGGTACATGTATTGTTTCACCCCTAATAATTACAAACCTTTACCTGCTTCAGCTGTGTAAAAGTTTTAAACAAGCCTGGAAGGCTTCATGTCACAAACCTCAACATAAAACAAGTTAAAGAGCCGACATGTTGGAACAAACACTCATGTTAAACCGTTTTATTAGGCTCGATAAAACAACACATTTATAATCAGATTTTAATTAATCTAAAGAAATCAACATTTATTGAAAATTATAAAAAAATGCATTAAAATCAGATTAAATTTGTCTTCTAATGTCAGCAATAACTAAGTGAAAGCTATTAAATAAAAATAAAACACATTTTCTAAGAAATATACAGTATTAATAAAAGTAGAAAATGAAAGTGTAATTTGTTGACTGATTTATGTATTGTCAACAAATAAAAACTTAGTATTTATTGGTTTATTTATTTTTGACTGCACATAACTAAGTGATGATTTGTTGATGGTCCCTAGTTTAAATCTGTAGGATGTGATCCAGTTGATCAAACTGAACCTGTTCTCCTGAGCTCCAGCAGGTGGCGGTAGATCATTTAACTCATGTCTGCCGCCAATAAATCGAAGAAGAAGAAACTTGTCCGACCGTAGAAGAAGAAGTTAGCCGAAGACTGCAGCGTTTTCTGTAAGACCGATCAAATGTGTAAATGAAGAGTGAAGAAACATTATATAGTTTTTTGGTTGAGTTTATTGTATTAAAAACTTTACCGTATTTAGTGAACAAACACTTCCTGTCTCGAGCGCGGGTTCAGTCTGACGTCACTCAGATATCTGCTTCCGGTCGCTGAACTGCGGGAAATCAAAACAGAGAAGACAGGTAATCTGTTTTGTTTATCATTGTTTTAAAGCTGCAGTCTACTTCAAAAGTAAGAGAGGAGAATTTGGACCTTTTTTATACAAATGTTTAACTATTTATCATCAGCGTGTTTATTATTTATTTATATTTTTTAGATTAGGATGGTGTTTAGGATCCAGAGAGGAGGAAAAACAACCTGGAGTTTATCTATAAAATCTTTTTTGTTTAAGTTTGCACGAGTTGTACAAACTGTTGTGTCACTGTGGCAACCACAGGAAAACAAACAAACAATAATTAATCTAATCTGTAGAAACAGGTTTAGTTAAGTCACTGTCAGAGTTTAAACATGACGTGACCACGTGTTACTGGTTAGACTGGTGTGAATGTAAGAGTTGATGTTTTGAACCAGCAGCATGACGTCATCTGGCTCTCCTCTCTCCTCCAGAGTTTCAGATGAGGTCATCATGATGAGCTCAGAGCAGGAGGCTCTGATTGGCCGAGTGTATGAGGCGTATCTAACAGAGCATCACCATGACGACATCCTGCAGCTTGTTGGTTCTCAGGATGAAGGCCCGCAGCATCACTCTGTGGTGGTCAACGCCATGACCCTGTTTGAAGCCAACATGGAGGTAATCATGTCCAAACTAACCTGTGTTTAGCTGTGAGGGGGGGAGGGAAGTGTTATTTAGACTAAAATGTTTTAGACTACAGTCAGAACTAACCAAACACAGTGTGGGATCTGTGAAGCTTTTATTATTAGTGATGGTGAGATGCAGTGGCGCCTGCAGAAAGTTTTTTCGGGGCAGGGGGGGCACACCGAAACTAATACCTATAACAGAACATTTTATGATGTGTTTGTAAAAATGACAAATTGAAAACTATGACAATATAAAGCTACAGATTTGCCGACAGATGTTCAGTTTGTAATTTCACAGATTATATCACTGATTTTATGACATTCAGAGACAAAAAAACAAGACTAAGTATTTGTAATGTTGGGGGGACCCACTGGTGGGGGGTCTGGTGGTCCTCCCCCAGAAAAGTTTTAAAGAAGTAAATGTCATTTCCTGCATTCTGG